CTTTCTCTTATTATTACTAATTTTCATAAATGATATTTTCTAATTTTATTGAAGGAATAGCAATTAAGAAGAAAAATCTAAAATTATACTTGCCTTTTAATACAATAACATTAATTTACAAGGTTTAGCAATTGATTTTAAATAAATATGAATAATAATCTTAATGATCTTGAATATTATCTTCAAATTGAAAATTATCAAACTTTAAATTAACTTCATTTCTCTCATATTTTTACTCTGTAATAAAAGCAGAAAAATTAGAAACTTGATTTTTGAAAATAATAAAATAATATATCTAAATTTGTGAATTCATAAAAATTGATTATAATTAGGTTAGAAATTATGCTTCTTTCAAAAAATTCTTTTATATTATAATTTCATTAAAAAATAAATCTTTTCTGAAAGATGTAATCCTTTAATTTAAAATTGAACTTTTGGCTAGAGTAAATTTATTAATAGTTATAGTTGAATTACCATAGCTGTTAGGAAACTAGACTCTCAAAAAAAAGAGTCTTAAATATCAACATTATTTATTATGATATCAGCAAATTAATTTAAGTTTAAATTTAAAGTGATGATTGATGAATTATAAAAATGACAAGATTTTATCAAAAGATTATCAAGAATAATTTGTCGACGCATATTTAGAAAATATAGCAAAGTTGTGTTGTTAAAAATACAATTTGACAATTTCAAATCCTTTATCTTAATAATCTCCTAAATCAGAACTCATAATTAAAAAATTGATAGCATTATAAACTATCACATCAAAAAATTAAAAATTTTATAAATTAAAATTTCGATAATTATCTCCATAAATTTGTATTTGAATAGGAATTGATTGATCAGAATAAAAACTTGTATCAATAATATTAAAATCTAAAGATTATCCTCTATTATTAAATATCAATTTTAATTAAGTTCTTATAAGAAACCTTACTTAATTAATTTTAACAGAATCAAAATATAATATCTAAAATTAAATTACTAATAGGAAAGGTTTTAGTTATTCCTCTATTCTTAATTAGATCTATTAAATGGAAAATACTTTTTCTCTGATATAATTCAAAAAACTATAATTTTTTACTTCCAAGTTTTCACAAATAGTGTTAAATAAAAGAATTAATGTGATTCTCTTTAGTCCAATTTCATTAAAATACTTATAATTCAACTTTTATTCTAAAAAGCCTGAATTGATATTTTACACAAAAATTCTAAAGTTCTACAAAAAAAATGAACCTAAATTATTAAAATTAAGTACATTGTACTCAACCATATTATCACAAATCTCATTAATAGAATAATGAGCAATTTGTAAATTTGGATCAATCGGAACTTTTTGTAAATGAACTTTTTAAATACATTTTAATGTGTAAATGGAATTCTCTTAGTTTATTTTAAAACATGGGGTTATTTTCGATTAGATTATATAAAAATAATACTTCTATTTGATCATTAGATCTCTATTCACATATTTAACATAGTGAAGGGCAATTTATACATTTTCCTTTTCTTAAAATAGTTCAAGCCACATTTTTATCAATAAAATTATTTTTAATAATCAATTTTCATATTCTAGCACACTTAACAATTATCATCACAATATTAATAGTACCAATTCAGAATAATTTAGTATCCATCTAAACATTGGATAACATAAGACATTGGTTCTATTGATATATATTTAATTATCAATTCTGGACTTTAAATATATTATTTGCATTTTAAAATGTGTTTTTAACAATTTATAATTTCTGGAGCAATATTGAAATCATCTATTGAAGAGGCAGTACAAATTTCTTAACCTTCTGCTGTAAGATATGATCTCAAACTATTTGAGATTGCAGGATTCTTNTAAAAATTGATTATAATTAGGTTAGAAATTATGCTTCTTTCAAAAAATTCTTTTATATTATAATTTCATTAAAAAATAAATCTTTTCTGAAAGATGTAATCCTTTAATTTAAAATTGAACTTTTGGCTAGAGTAAATTTATTAATAGTTATAGTTGAATTACCATAGCTGTTAGGAAACTAGACTCTCAAAAAAAAGAGTCTTAAATATCAACATTATTTATTATGATATCAGCAAATTAATTTAAGTTTAAATTTAAAGTGATGATTGATGAATTATAAAAATGACAAGATTTTATCAAAAGATTATCAAGAATAATTTGTCGACGCATATTTAGAAAATATAGCAAAGTTGTGTTGTTAAAAATACAATTTGACAATTTCAAATCCTTTATCTTAATAATCTCCTAAATCAGAACTCATAATTAAAAAATTGATAGCATTATAAACTATCACATCAAAAAATTAAAAATTTTATAAATTAAAATTTCGATAATTATCTCCATAAATTTGTATTTGAATAGGAATTGATTGATCAGAATAAAAACTTGTATCAATAATATTAAAATCTAAAGATTATCCTCTATTATTAAATATCAATTTTAATTAAGTTCTTATAAGAAACCTTACTTAATTAATTTTAACAGAATCAAAATATAATATCTAAAATTAAATTACTAATAGGAAAGGTTTTAGTTATTCCTCTATTCTTAATTAGATCTATTAAATGGAAAATACTTTTTCTCTGATATAATTCAAAAAACTATAATTTTTTACTTCCAAGTTTTCACAAATAGTGTTAAATAAAAGAATTAATGTGATTCTCTTTAGTCCAATTTCATTAAAATACTTATAATTCAACTTTTATTCTAAAAAGCCTGAATTGATATTTTACACAAAAATTCTAAAGTTCTACAAAAAAAATGAACCTAAATTATTAAAATTAAGTACATTGTACTCAACCATATTATCACAAATCTCATTAATAGAATAATGAGCAATTTGTAAATTTGGATCAATCGGAACTTTTTGTAAATGAACTTTTTAAATACATTTTAATGTGTAAATGGAATTCTCTTAGTTTATTTTAAAACATGGGGTTATTTTCGATTAGATTATATAAAAATAATACTTCTATTTGATCATTAGATCTCTATTCACATATTTAACATAGTGAAGGGCAATTTATACATTTTCCTTTTCTTAAAATAGTTCAAGCCACATTTTTATCAATAAAATTATTTTTAATAATCAATTTTCATATTCTAGCACACTTAACAATTATCATCACAATATTAATAGTACCAATTCAGAATAATTTAGTATCCATCTAAACATTGGATAACATAAGACATTGGTTCTATTGATATATATTTAATTATCAATTCTGGACTTTAAATATATTATTTGCATTTTAAAATGTGTTTTTAACAATTTATAATTTCTGGAGCAATATTGAAATCATCTATTGAAGAGGCAGTACAAATTTCTTAACCTTCTGCTGTAAGATATGATCTCAAACTATTTGAGATTGCAGGATTCTAATAAATAAATTATTCTTTTTCAAAACTATATATGAAACCAATTTTTGATTTAGAGATGTTTTTGTTTAATCATTGACAAAATAACTAAAAAATTATAAACAAAATTCTTTATTGGATAGAGTACATATTTTTTCAAAGTTAAGAAAATAAAGAGGTAGACAATAAGTTATTTAGGCAATGATAAACATTTATTTATCAGATGATAGTTATTTATTAGATATTGGAATTAAATTGTTCAAAAAATTAGCAATATAAACATTCATCCTCACATAAATAATAATTTATATCGTTTCCCACAAATTTATAACACAAATCTGTCTCATATATATATTGGGATATATTTCCATCATCATGTGAATATAATGAGGTCAATAAAGCATATTCATCCATTCCTTAGATTCTATAAACACTCAAGACATGTGACAACATTATCCATATTTGTAGATGGACTAATTTTATAAAAATACTAAAATACCTTCGAAAACAAGCATTGTCAAATTCGAAATATCCATACTTACAACTTTACATATTGACTTCGTCTGGACTTATAATAGTTAAATTTAAACTTTCATAAGTTATACATTAGTTATCCATATCAACAGTTCCATATTCACAAATGCACTCCTTAAAATCTGGGAGGTATTTTCTATTTGATGATTCAAAACAGAATAAACAATCAGTTTTTGTAGTACCATCGCATTCCTAGCAAGTTGAATGAAATTTAGTTACTCCACTAACTCCTAAGGACAGTTCAATAATTAAAAGCCAACAATCTAAAGTTCTAAATAATCTGAATGAGATTATAAAATATTTCCATAAAGCGATTTAAATTAAAATAAATTAACTTGTCTAACTTCTTCATAAATTTCGAATTTTTCTTATTTATATAATTCAAAAAAAGTTATTGAAATATAAATATTTGTTTCTTATTTTTTAATAAATTAATAATGCCATAGTTTAATATCGCCAATTAACTAAAAAAAGTCTATTTGATTTGATAGGGATTACTTGAAAAATCAATATTAATAGAGGGAAAAGTGTGACTATTTGAAGCTATGATCATCTCATCTAATTTCCTTTGAAAGATATATTATAAGTTAGAGTAAAAGGGGATAAATTATCATCTGTCATTTAGGTAACCTAAAAATTCCTGTCAATTTTATTAATTAATAATCAAATTCGTCTACAAAAGTGTGTATATCATCAATTTTTATCCAATATGATAATAAAAATTATTAGCAATTTGTTTTGAAGAAATAAAAAGAAATTCTTCTTATTTTTAAATCACTTAATCATTTATTTTAGTATTTTAACTCGGTACACATCTACACCCATCTATGTTACTGCTCAAGATGAAAGAAATCACAGTATTACAATAATGTTATGAAGATATTTAATAATAGTTAAGAATGAGAACTTATCCAAGAAAGTATGATAATTTTTCATTTTAGGAATTGTGAAGTTATTGATTATGTTTGACACTCAAGTCTCCTCCAAAAATTAATTTCAATTTTTCATCATAAAATGGAAATTCAATCTAAATCGAATGTGTTTAAATCAATTGCTCATGATTAGAAAAATAAATAGTAAATCAATTTTCAATTGGGACCATCTCAAATCCAATAAAATACCAGACAATCTCATATACTCTATCCTAAATTGGCATTTCATAAATATGATCAACTCCATTATTATCTATAAATTATAGATATTTCTTTAGAGTAAAGTAAGACATTCGTATTATATTAAGTTAATCCTCTTTGTATTCTAATTTTATGCATAATGTAAATGAAAGCAATCGCTATCTAGAATTCCAATTCATCCAATTTTAAATGTGTTACTTAATGAAATGTATCTATTCCACAAACCATATCCCGAACTGTTAGCATCATCCATTTCCATTTAGTTTCTGTTTAATGAGAAAATTTAAAATGGATATTGCTAGAGCAATCCAGATAGGTGATAGCAATTAGATATCTTTAAGGCAATGATTATCAATAATACAAGATAACACTATTTGAACATATATTAATGTATTGAAAAATAACAATACGATAAATAGATAATAATTTAAATTAATGATTTCATCTATTGATAAGATCTTGACATCTTTAGCCTTTTGCATATCACATTATTTCACTACTGACTTTAAATATTTTACTTTATTATAATTTTCATAAGTACTTAATGAAACACCATAATTTATTTTTTCTTTAAGAGTATTGCTGTTGTAGATTTTTTCTCTTTAATTTTCTAGAATTTTCATTATAAATACACATGATAATTTAAGAGCTCAATAGATTTTAATTTCCCAATTTCTAAAATCTTACGTATTTATCTTTTTATCTATTTATATTGAACAATTTAATACTTATTATTAAGATCTCTAAAATATATACTTTTAATCTCTAATAACTGCATATATTGGCTCTCATTATTTCATCAAAAGTTTTTTCATACCTTTACTAACAAATAGAATTGGATATTTATTTATTAATATAATTATTTGAATTAATTATTGTATTTCAAGTAAAAGTTAAATTTCATAAATCTGAGAATTTATTTTTTGCTTTGATTATCGGATTTTAGACTGCTGAAATATTAGAGTAGCCTCATATTAGAGTAGCCTCATATCCTTTGCTGAGCAGAGTTAATTTGGAAATTCACTTCTTATTGAATAAACTTTGAATGGTATGCAAAAATAAGGAAGAAATAATTCTTTATGATATTTTATTAATGTAGTTAAATATTCTCAAAGTCATAGAATATGAGAAAAATTATTCATTTTCTTCATAATCATAGGAATTTCTTCCAAATTATTTATTATTTTAAGGAATATTGATTGTATTAATAAAAGCTGACTTAATAATTGTGTAAAGTTAATTTAATTTTCAGTGATTGGATAATAATATCTATAACTAATACTCAACTTGCTTTTGAGCGACTATTTAAAATTTTCAATAAGATCTTATCGAGTTAGTTTTGGCTAGATATTATTCAAATATAAATGGTGAATTGTTTAATATTTTTACATAATATTTTTAGTATCTATGAATTGTTCAAATAAATATTGGAATTTCAAACCATTTTTAGCGTTCATCCAACAGCATTAACAAAAGTGAAATGTAAAAATATATTTTAACTTATTATATTAAAAATGATGGTTTCAAGGTTAAATTTTTGTAAATAATTTAAATACAGTTAAAATTGACAAAAAATGAAACAAATATGTTTTAATTTTATTAGATCTATTATTACATATATCATAATAATAAATTATTATTTATATAAAAAAAAGAGACTTTATGAATAAGAATTTTTGAGATTTATCTAGATTCAAATTTATTAATTATCTTAATTCTCATTGTAACTATAATGATAATTCGTTTAAATTAATTTCCTTTAAGTTTTTATAATTTTTATTCTTTTATAATTAAATTCTGAAAAAATATAAATGGATTTACATTTAAATATTATTCTTCAGTATGTGATATTTTCATTATTATTAAGAATATAAAAACTTAATATTCAATCCTTAATTAGATGTTCTGTAAAATAATTGTTAAACCAGAGATATGTAAAGGTCAACACCTCTGATAATGATTTGTTATAATAGTAAAACGGGATTACCTGTTTAATTATAATAGGCTTAATATACTGTTAATATATAACCTGGTTTATCAGTTGTGGAAATAACTCAAATGTATTCAACAAGAATAAAAAATGGATCAATATGAATTTGGAATAGTAAAAGAATTAGAGGAGGAAAAATAAGATTATAAAAAGGGAATATAAGAAGGAAAGACTATGGCATTTTGTGAAGAAGATTAAAAAATACCAAATATAAAAAAAGTAAAATTGGTTGTTTGAATCCTGGTAAATCATTAAAAATTTAGTTTGAATACATCTAACCTTTATAAGTGTTTCTTAATTAATTTTGGAAATTAGAATTGTAACCAATGATAGATAAAATTTATTTAGCAATTAATGAATTATAAAATACTGATGATGGGTATGCTTAATTGTTTTCTTTTATTAATGAGAACGTTTACATTTGGACAATGAAATTAATTATGGGCAAACCTATTACATATGTTAAGTCTCCAACACACTCGATATTGTTTCATTCTGATATTAATATGAAAGAGAAATAAATTAGTTTATAATCTCCATAAGACCAGTTATATATTTCCTTAGATATGGATGATCCAGAAAATTTAAAACCAAATTAAAGGTTTGAATTATTATTTTCCTCAAAACATATTAATGACCCTTGTACAATACTTAGCCATACTAATAATGATGCTTTACAACATATTAAATATTGCGCTACTTTAAATCTCATTCCAAAATTCAATGAATTTTCAATAGATGATGCTTATCAATCTTATATAAATGGTTTTAATTTACCTTCACAGACATAAATATAAAGAGGTATTTTCTATTTTTTATTGATCGAAGTCTTTCAACGAGACACAAAAAAATTAAAAGAACAAAACAAGTGTTGATATTATTTTTGAAGAGCCTTCAAGAAGATTATTTGTTTAACATAATTTCATTTGGTGGTCAAGTAAAAAAAAGTTCGATTAAGCACAAACTATAATAAAACAACAAAGGACTTAATTATTAAAATATCAAAATAGAGTGAATTTAAATTATAGAAATCTATTTTTGAATGATAAAATTTGAAATAAAAAATAAAAATTATATATTAAATTAATATAATGAATTAATATCGTTCATTTTATTTAAATTATCATAATTCCTTTATTATTGAAACAAAATTACTTTTTCTTTAAAAATCACCAAACCTATAACTATTCAATTAATTTTTGGTGATGAGAATTGAAAAAATAATAAAATTGATAATCCATCTTATACTTATTATTATTCATAAATTGAATGTAAACTTAATCACCTTTGAATTTAATAGAATTCATTTTAATTATAAAATCTTCTTAAGTAAATTAAAAATAAAATTAAACAATAATTTTATCAATATATTTTACATTAAATAAATTATTTAAGATACTTCATAAAGTAGCTAAAAATAAATTTCAATAACCCTGGAATATTTTTTCAACAGCTTGCTNTATGGGCAAACCTATTACATATGTTAAGTCTCCAACACACTCGATATTGTTTCATTCTGATATTAATATGAAAGAGAAATAAATTAGTTTATAATCTCCATAAGACCAGTTATATATTTCCTTAGATATGGATGATCCAGAAAATTTAAAACCAAATTAAAGGTTTGAATTATTATTTTCCTCAAAACATATTAATGACCCTTGTACAATACTTAGCCATACTAATAATGATGCTTTACAACATATTAAATATTGCGCTACTTTAAATCTCATTCCAAAATTCAATGAATTTTCAATAGATGATGCTTATCAATCTTATATAAATGGTTTTAATTTACCTTCACAGACATAAATATAAAGAGGTATTTTCTATTTTTTATTGATCGAAGTCTTTCAACGAGACACAAAAAAATTAAAAGAACAAAACAAGTGTTGATATTATTTTTGAAGAGCCTTCAAGAAGATTATTTGTTTAACATAATTTCATTTGGTGGTCAAGTAAAAAAAAGTTCGATTAAGCACAAACTATAATAAAACAACAAAGGACTTAATTATTAAAATATCAAAATAGAGTGAATTTAAATTATAGAAATCTATTTTTGAATGATAAAATTTGAAATAAAAAATAAAAATTATATATTAAATTAATATAATGAATTAATATCGTTCATTTTATTTAAATTATCATAATTCCTTTATTATTGAAACAAAATTACTTTTTCTTTAAAAATCACCAAACCTATAACTATTCAATTAATTTTTGGTGATGAGAATTGAAAAAATAATAAAATTGATAATCCATCTTATACTTATTATTATTCATAAATTGAATGTAAACTTAATCACCTTTGAATTTAATAGAATTCATTTTAATTATAAAATCTTCTTAAGTAAATTAAAAATAAAATTAAACAATAATTTTATCAATATATTTTACATTAAATAAATTATTTAAGATACTTCATAAAGTAGCTAAAAATAAATTTCAATAACCCTGGAATATTTTTTCAACAGCTTGCTGTTTTTAAATCATAGATACTTCTTCATTTTTTTAATTACGCTAACTCATAAAAGTTTAAAGCCGATTCAAGTTTTCAAAATAAAAAGTAAAAATGAAGAACTAATTGGTACTTAATCATATAAAAAAAGAGTTTTGTTAATATTTCTGAGACTCTTATCAATAATAATTGATATACATCTAAATGGAATAATAAGCAGAATTTGCTTTCATTATGATTAGAACAGAATATCTTGATATTTTTGCTGGAGATTTCATTTAGGTTAATAGCAAAATTTTGGGATAACTAGACTTTTAATTACAATTATCAATTAATTATTTAGGTAAAAAGAGAAGGACAAATTATGGAAAATGTATTTAATAGAAACATTTTTTAATAATACTTAAAACATAAATTAAAATTTTTGTTTCCCCATTTTGATTTTCATCTCCCATCAAATCCACCTAAATCATTTCTTTTCATTATTCACACTTTTTTCTGGCAAGTCTTAATGAAAATTAAAGATCAAATTCTTAATCAATTAAAAACTAAGAAATTATAATAAATATCTATGATGTTTATAAGTTTTTTTTAAATAAAAGTTTGTTAATCTGGCGATATTGTTATTTAAAAAAAAAAACAAGGAGAAAAGGTGGTATTTGATAAAGTCTTTTTACATGTTAGAAAACAGAGAAATATTTTTATTTTCCAAGAGCAATTTCCATATCAAATTTGATAATTCAGATTGTAAGCAGAATATAGAAATCTTGATGTGGTTCTGTGAATAGACTAAAAACAGCAGGTTTAATTCGGTTTCTTAATGCCGCCTAGAATTTTAATTTTAATTTTTGCTCATTATCTCATAATGGATTACCCAAAGGAATGAAAATCATCATATTCTTAAGGTGGTACTTTATAATTAAATAAAGTTTCATTGTTCAGGAATTTTAAGCACTCTTCCAACTTCTAAAAGTTTTGTGAATTCATCATACCATCTTATTTTTCGAAATTTCGAAAGTTTAGAAAAATAAATTAAGGAAATTTATGGAACATGTTGATTTATTAATTGCATTTTATAATACGAATTTTTTTATCATTTCTTATAATAATTATGTATTAATAAATATTAGTTTATAAACATTTATATACCGGTATGGATTTATTATTTAAATTGAATTAAAAAATGCTAGCCTCAATGAATAATACAAGTTCTTCATTACGGGGAGGTGGTTGTGGAACTTTTAGAATGATTCCAAGAACACAAGCAAACTTAAAGTCAGATATTAAAGGTATAGAAAATTTCATGACCAAATTTGATTCTTTTGTTGAAATTATTTGTGTTAAAGCTGCTGTTATTAATTAGTTTGAATCTTAAGAAATAATGTTAGCCATTCAATGGTTTATATTTTAAGAGGAAAACATCTACCAACTCAACAAAAATGCCTAATATATGAGAAAATCATACAACTTAATTGTAGAGGGAATCCGAAAATTACTGAAAAGCTGTTTGATATATATTAGAACAGACTAGTTTAAATGTTTGCATATCTTATAAATTACAGCATCTCTATCTAAAGTCATATTTAGTTTCCATGTAATGAACAGGGATAGAATAATGAAAATTGATTTATAAAAAGAATTTCTGGATATTTCGGATGATTTAAAATAATTAATGGAAATAGAGAAGAATGATTTGATTTAAATTTAGCTGGAATTTTTTCTTTTCTTAACAAAAACTTCTTTTGAGATAGCTCCAAATAACAGTAAAGAAAGGAAAGATATTGTAAAAGGATTTGTAAGTGGTATATTTGGCTCTTTAGTTCAAATGAAACCTAATGCTGAATTACTTGAATCCTTATTTTAGGCAGCCTGCTAAATTCACAACATGTAAAAAATAAAAAAAAATAGAAAATAATATGAAGTGTATTTTTAAATAGATATGTTATAATGGGAGATCATACATAATTTAAAAAATGACAGCTCATAGAATTTGGAAGAAATAATCTTACAAATTGAGAAAACACATGAAAAACTTGTGAAAAATTCAAATAATTGGAAAAATCATTTTTTGTGGATTTAAATGATTGGAAAAATCTTAATTTATCATCCTCTTATAACAAAAGAAAAATTAAAATAGTTGACTAGCTCTTTCAATCTTGAAGCCAAATCAATGTAAATATGGAAGGAATATCTAAACAAAGGGTTTCTAATTTAAATAAATCATTGCAATGACTAAGCTTTAATTTTACTTAATTAATTTAAAAATAAAGAATTAACTTAAATAGATAAATTAATACTAGAAGACACTTTCAAAGAATGGGAAAACTTGATGGTACTTAAAGACTTCTTACTGAATAAAAAAAATGAAAAAATCCATTTTACATTTGGCTCATATCTAAAATTTAAATTAGGAAGCATAAACCCCAACAAAGATTAAAATACTTCAGCAATTTGCAAGATTTAACAATTTTTTGATTTTATCATATCAAATAAATTACTAGCTTTAATTCAAGATAATGATGAGAAATTTGGAGTCATAATTAAAAATTATAAGAATTTTACCGAAAAAAATAAGTATTTTAATGTTGCAATAGAATAAGCCACATATAATTCATAATTAAAAAAAATGGTTTTCAGCTTCAAAGAATATTTCTAAAACACTCTAAAAATCATTAAAATTATTAGGCTTAGTTAAAGGAAATAATATTGTGAGATAGAATAACTTGAATAGAAAAAAATTAATGAATAAAATTTGTTTTAATAACTTAAATATATTATGAGACTATTAGAATAAATTTTATAATAAGCAATTTAAGATAATAGAAATGAACCTGATGAAAGCATAACGCTTTAGTAAGAGATAGAAAAGATTTAGAAGAAATTATCAAATTTAAATCTATCAGATAAATAATTCTCAGTTGTGAATAAGTTAAAGTAGAAGCTTCTTGCCTTACCTAGTGCAACTCTTAATAAGAGAAGTTTTTTGAAAGAAGCTCAATGCATGTTAAAACTTATTCAAAAAACTGAAAGAAATGTCTCAGAGCTAGAAGTGTTGTTAATTAAAAAAGAGAACTTAATTCAATACTTTCAAAGTTTATTGAATAACCTAAATTTTTATTATGAACACCAGATCTAAGAACTTCATAAACACTTTAATGAATTGATTGAAAGTTTTAAGACAATTCAAATTTTACAATATGAAATAGAGTCTGTGTCTTAACCTGAAAAATTAAAAGAAATTAAATCACAATATTCTTACAAGCTTTCATTTTAATGTATACAAAAACAAAGATTGAACATGTAAAAGCTTAAATTGCAATTAATTGCTTTCAAAGAATGTTTCTAAAATACATTAACAATAGCATCAGAAGAGTATTAAAAGTAGCAATATATTATCAAAATCGATGAGTTTCTACTTGATGTACTTATGAATTATCCAAAAAAATCAATTCGCTGTGACTGTTCTATTTAAGAATAAACTACTGCCGAATTAACTATCTTGTAAATTACTGAACAAGACTATTAAAATAATTTATCAACATAAAAAGGAATTTTAGAATATCTTATATTTAAATTAAGTTTAGAAGAATAAATGATTGATTTAGAAAGAAAAGATTTGGAGTTAGTTGAAAAGGACTTTGGAGAATTATTAATTGATAAAACTAGCTCCTAATTGCTCAAAGTCAGAATTTTGAATTTACTTGATAATGTATAGATAGATGAATCACTTAAGAATGTGAATGATGAAAAATTTAACATATCATAGTTAAATATTGAATTAGAAAAATATAAGAAACTGATATAATAATTACAATAATTGAACATTAATAAAAAAATTATTAATGTAGAGGATTTTAGATAATTAATGAATCATATTGAAATCCTTGTTAAAATATTGGAAAATTCCTAAAACCAATAATTAGAAATTTTTAAAATACTCATTGTTGAATAGTTGAAGGACTTACAAATAAAAAGAGAAGAATTTGAGAAAAAATCAAATGATTAAGTTTAGTTAATGGAATAGAATGTTGATCTTATTAAGGACTAAAGTGCTAAATAAGAAATTGTGGCTAGTGTTTTTTCTAATTTTGAGATTGTCTGTGAGGAAAAATATAGAACTTATTTATAAATCATAATAAATATTATACAATTATAATGGATGAATATAAAAAAATAAATATAATCATTAAACTAATTACTTGGAGAAGTTAAAAAATTTTCAAGTCAAATTGATCTTATTCAGAAATAAAAAAATGAGATTCAAAAACAATTGTATAAAAGTTTTTAAAGTTATTTCAAAAATTTAATAGATAACTATTAATAATTACAATTTGCATCAGATAATTTTAATTAAAATTAAGATGAAACTCTTAAAGAATACTTTGAAAGAATTTCAATTATTTTATTGTAAGTAAAAAACTCTAATCTTGATAATGATCCCCAATAAAAAACAAATATTATTCATTTTCTTATCAAGCTAAAGACTGAGATAAAAGAAAAAATGTTAGAGTCTAATTCAATATTCTAAGAAATAGCTTCTGGGCCAGATAACCTATTTCAGCAAATAAAGAAACTTTATCTTGAGGAAAATTTAGAGGAATAGGATTAAGATTTAGAATCGCTTCAATAATCAGGGTTTTTTGATACTTTATTTCAAAAGTATAAAGATTTTATAAATAATGAAGAATGGAAAATTAAATAGTGTCTAGTTGTTACTATAATTTAGATTTCATCGAATTGCAACACAGATACAATGATGTAATTTTGTTAATAAGCTTTAATATAATTATGGGTTAAAGAAAAAGATTAAAGAATTAGAAATTTATTGAAAAATTAACACTTAATAAGTTTATAGATGTAAATTTTGTAGAAAGATTGGCAGACTTAACATGATAGAATTGCAGGAGAAATGCAAAAAATGTTAAAAAGAATTGATGAATTGTAAGAATAAATTTCTCGTGAGGCTAATCTCAACAAACGTGACTAACAACTGAAAGAAATCGATGAAACAACTGAGCAATTAGATGAATATATTCAAAATATCAGTGAAATGGGATAATAACTTAAATTGATAACCGACTTTGTTAATCATATCAGAAAGGGTTTGATAAGAGTTGAGGGAAAAATAAATTAAATGAAAGAGTAACTCAACAGCATGGGGAATGATATTAAATTTTTGAGAGGAAAATCGGTAATATAACTATTTGAAATTAGAAAATGGAAAGTATTGAAGGAAGCAGCAGAAAAAAATGTTAAGTCTATCTATGTGCCATTAAAAACCAAAGAGAAAGATAAAAATGAAGTCAGTAGTTTGATGAATTTTGATTAATTTGATGATAAAGA